TGCTTTGCCAAATGAATCCCTGCCAAACACCTGGTACCCCCACATATCTGTGCACATAAGGACACAGTCCTCAGCCAAAGCAGCAGAAGAAAAAAGGGTGGCGGAGACAGCCACAAATAGAAACTCAGCTCTTTTGGAACTCAGGAGCAAACATGAATTTATTATGCTCCTGCTGGGAAGCATGTGCAGGGAAGAGTAGACATTCTCATGTATACTCATTACTTGAGTTTTCTCTGTCAAGCTAACGGCCTGGGCAGTGTTTCTTTTTAATTGTACTACTTTTAATAAAATGGGCCTTATGTGCCTGCTGCCACTTGTCACGGCTAATTTGGATAATACCCGTTTGCCGCTGTTAGGAGCTGCTCAACTGAAAATGTATCATGATCAGCTGCACGCAGGAAAAAGCTACTTCATACCAAGACAGTCGGAGCTTGACATCAGTAGGCTTATCCTGGCACTTGGCTGACAGGCACACAACTCACAGAGTGGGGACAGTGTCCACGATGGCTTGTCTAATCTCCGTCATCTTCTGGAGATGCCATCTTGGCGCACAGAATGTGCCTGTCCATTTCTGGAAGGCCCAGGTGTTCTAAGCAGCCTGGTTGAGTCTCTCTCCTGCCCCCTGGCTGATGCCAAATAATTGCCCCCCAGGGTTGCTCCTCTGATTCTGAAGAGCCTTTTGCCCCACTGCCAGAGAGCCAGCGCTGCTGCTTAGCCTGAGTTGGCTGGATTACTCTTAGTCTGCTTGTTTCTGTGATGTCCAAGGGTGCCATTCTCTGCAAAGCACACGCCTCATACCCCTCTGATATGTTTAGGAGAACAAAATCCGCCAGTCTCTCGAGCTTTGTGAGAATGGCGTGGTCTCCTTCCTATAATGAGTTCACAGTCCTTTTGTTAACGTGCCATCTTTTGTACCCATGCCACCCACCCCTACACTTGTGGGAATGAGATCTTAAACCCAACATAGGCTTCTTATTTATCCCTATTGGATTTTGTCTAATTAAATTTGACCCACCATCCTAACCTACCAATTTCTTCATAAGCTTATGAAATGAGGTCCTGAATCTCCTTCTTGACAATCACAATGATTTCTAGGATTTAGAGGCAGCAATGGGAAATAGGGCGTAGATTCAAGACTCCTGGAGCTCTAGATCTAGAACTGTCTGGCTTCCGGAGAGAATGGTGAGGTGGGGACCAGATCTCAACAGCCTTTGCTTTGTGAAAGGAGGGTTTAACTAGATCCTTCTCTGGGCCTCCATTTTCTCACTTGTGAAGTGAGGGAGGGCTGTAAGATTAGGAGTTCTTAATATGGGGTCTACACATAGATATCAGCAGGGTTGGGGGAGTCCATGGACACGAACAGGGAAAAATAGATCTGTATTCAATATGACTAGTTTCATTTGTAATTGTTCTATGTATTTTGTTTCATGTATTTAAACAATGCTATTCTGAGAGAGGGTCTGTAGGTTTTACCAGACACAAAAGCAGTTAGGAATTCCTGGACTAGATGGGCCTGAGAATCCCCCTGTTCTAAATTATATGATCCCGTTTTACAAAAGGAACAGTAGTTCATCACCCCCAAAATCACAGATTCTTTTGCTTCCCCCAATAAACATCTTGTAAGTGACCTGATAAGACACACACGATAACATACAGCAAGAAAATATTTTCAGTGGTCAGTACCTCAGTCTTTAGCAAGTATTCTGGTCTAACTGCAATGTAAAATGTCATCACAGGAGTCAAGCTAGATGGTGCAGTGGATAGAGCACTGGCCCTGGAGTCAGGAGGACCTGAGTTCAAATCCAGCCACAGATACTTGACACTTACTAGCTGTGTGACCCTGGGCAAGTCACTTAACCCCACTGCCTAGCCAAAAAAGACCCCCAAAACAAATAAACAACAAAAAAAAGTCGTCACAGAAGACAGCTGAGGCAAGCAGTGGTACAGTGGATTGAGTATTGAATGTAGAATCAAGAAGTTCTGAGTTTGAATCTTGTTTTAGTCACTAACTGACTACGTGACCCTGGGCAAGTCACTCTCAGCCTCAGTTTCTTCATCTGTAACGCGGGATAATTACAGCAGCTACCTCACTGTGTTGTGAAGATCAAATGAAATAACATATATGTAAAGCATTTTGTAAAACCTTAAAGCATGGTATAAACGTGCACTGTTACTATTGTTATTTAAGTTCATGAGGCCCAGAGTATACCCCGTATATGAGCATTGACTTGCCACACAAACACAAGTCATCTCGTTGTAGTGGCTGGAGATCCAGGCTTAAAGCCAGGAAGACCTGGGTTCGAGTCCTCCTTCTGACACAGAGCAGCATAGCCCTGTCAGTGCTTTGAGCAATTCTCTAATAAGACCCTAGGTTGTGGAGCGTGTGCTGACCTCCTTTGGTAGAGGGTGTTCCTCAGCTTTATAGGCGTGAGATCATAGATCTGTTCCCAAGTCTTACCATTTCTATATATGTATCTATAGCTATGTGTATAAGAGATGTATTTTCCAATTTGTCTTAAAGTTAACTAGTCACAAGGATGGACATTTGGAAAACCTTAGCATGTAAAACGACCGCCATTCTCAAGTGGACAGTTTGGGGCGTGGCGGTTGAAGGCAGCCAATCATCATGCGGCCTGAGACTAGGAAGTGAGGCAGTGGTTTAAGGTGCTTTTCAGCACAGGCATCTTCTTCCCCCCAAGCATCATAGAGGTGCATTTGGATCATTGCTTGGTTTGGTTTTTTTGTTTGTTTGTTTTAGTTTTTTTGCAAGGCAATTGGGGTTAAGTGGCTTGCCCAGGGTCACACAGCCAGTAAGTGTCTAATGTCTGAGTCTGGATTTGAACTCAGGTCCTCTTGACTCCAAGGCCAGAGCTCTTTCCACTGCACCCCCTAGCTGCCCTTGGATCATTACTTGAGCAGCAGAGTTGAGGATAAGAGGAATCAGGAAGAGCAGGTACTGTAAAATTAGTGTAGGTGAGAACAGAGGAGGAGGCCCTGAACTACAGTGGGGCCAGTGAAGAGGGAAAAAAAAACAAGTGAAAGATATTACAAAGGTCAAAACAGCGAAGGTATTACAAAGGTATTTGGATGACTATGGTTATGTGTCTGGAATTCTGGAGGGATGGTCATGGCGTTAACAGAAATAGAGCAGATGGGGGAAGGGCTCCAATTTAGAGAAGGAAGAGCTCAGTCTTAAGACATGTTCATTTTGGGATGCCCAAAGAATATCCAGGAGCCAGTTGGAAATATGGGCCTGGAACTATGGGTGAGCTTGAAATTCAGATGCAGGAGCCATCTGCATAAAGGTATTAACTGAAGCTGTTGGAAGAGATGGTTGGGATGCATGGAGCAATGTAGGGTTAGGCTTCTTCTATAGAAAAGTCGAATGGGGCTCCCCTCCTTAGAGATTTTCAAACAAGAGTTGGATAGCCATTTGTCAAGTATGTCATAGAGGGGTTTTTGTTAAGGCATGGATGCCTTCTGGAGTCCTTTCTAACTCAAGAGTTTCAGTCATTCTGTGGTTTTGGATGTGATCACCAAAGGAGAGCGTGTAGAGAGAGAAGAGAAGATGGTGTAGGAAAAAGCCTTGGGGACATCCACATTTGAAGGGCAGCAGGCCACAGAAGCAGTGATCAGAGAGAGCGCTGTCATGAAAGCTCCAAATGAAAGGGTATCAGGGAGCATTTGGTGGTCCACAATTTACAGAGATGTCAAGGAGGCCAAGGACAGAAATGTAACTCTTGGGTTGGGTGATAAGGTGGTCTTTAGTAGTGCTCTGTCATCTTTGAGAGAGCTTTTTCTCTGAATTGGTGGGCCTGTGGAGCAGTAAGGGGGTACAGTGAGTGCCCACCACTCCTTCTAGGGGTTTGAGAAGTTTGCCAATGAAGGGGAAGAGATACAGAGTAGTAGTTTGAGAGATATGAGGCAGCACCAAGGGGAGGTTCTGTTGGGCTAAGGAAGATGTGGCCGTGTTTGCAGGCTGGACGTAGAGTGTGGACCAGAGCTAGAATGGACATCAATGTGAGGGGAGGGATTGATAGCGCAAGGTCAAGGACAAGGCAGGAGGACATAGTATCAGGGGTATATAGATGGAAGGGTTGATATTCAGCAAGGAATGAGGTCTGTCTTCCTCCAAAACTGGAGGAAAGGAGATAGGTAAACATATTAAAAGAATTAAAAAATTGGAGAGGGGGGGAAATTGAAAGAATTCATATTGGGTGATCTGAATTTTCTCATTAAAGTAGTATAGACGAGGTCGGGGGGGTGTCAAAGGTAGAGTTGAGAGTATGAAAAGTGGAGGTTTAGAACAGCTTTTGTGATTGGTGTGATAAAGAGGCATTAGGGAAGGGAGATGCCGACTACATGTCGGCACTGTGCTAAGCACTTTTTTATTTAACAAATTTTATCCTATTTGATCCTCACAATAACCTTGGGAAGTAGGTACTGTTATTATCCAGACTTTAGAGATGAGGAAACTGAAGCAGACAGAGGTTAAGTGACTTGCCTAGGGTTACATAGCTACGAAGTGGCTGAAGCAGGATTTGAACTCAGGTCTTCCTAACTCTAGGCCCAGGGTTTTATCCACTGCACCACCTAGCTGCCTGGAGTAAATGATGAGCAAAAGAATTTCCCTGTGACAGTGAAGGCCTAGTGGTGGGCAAATGTGTGGCGGGTCCAGTTAGCCACATTCCATGGCTTCCTCTAGCCTTGCTCAGCAGTGTAAGGACGAGGGTTGGGGCTAGCAGGGCTGAATGGTGGAGAGGCCAGATGGTGAGGGACACCAGGACGGAAGAGAGGGCCTGGCCGAAGAAACCAGTAAGAGGTGAGACAAGTTCAGGAGGAGTGTGGAGAGATGAGGGAACCGGGCCAGGTAGAAGGACAGGACCGACCATGGGTTGGTGCAAACCCAAAATGCTTTTGGAACTGATTTCTGTAATGAATTCTCACTTGGAAGAAAGCTCCGGAAAGAAAGCCATCAGCTCTTTTATTTTGCTTCTCAGGAAAATTTTGAGAAGGCCAGCCTGAGCAGCAGTAGCAGCGGCGGGGCCAGCTTGAAAAGCGAGCTTTCTGAGAGTGCTGACCTTCCCCCAGAGAGCTTTCAGCAGCCCTGTGGGAAAGACGAAGACAGAGCCTGTGATGAAATCTTGTCCGATGATAACTACAACTTAGAAAATATCGAAAAAGGTGAGGGCATTTGTAAAGATGTCAGCACAGACCTGTCTCTTGTGTTTTCTGTTCCAAGACTCACTCGTGTCTCTTTTTTGTTGTACAGACACATATTTGGAATTAGATGATGAGCTAGACATCTCAGATAACTCCAGCAGCTCTAGCTCAAGCCCTTTGAAAGAGTCACCATTTGGTAAGCCATCTACCAAGGGCCGTCTAAACCATTTCATCATTTCCAGTGGCAGATCAGTCAGCAGTGCGCTGACGTTGTCGTCCTTGAGGAAAAGGGAAGGGCACAAGCATTGATGTGCTGTTATATGCCAGGCAAGGTAGTAAGTCCTTTACAAATACCATTTCATTTGATCCTGACAACAATCCTAGGAGGTAGGTGCTGGCACTGTTCCCATTTGACACTTGAGGAAACTGAGGCAGGCAGTAGGTAAGTGACTTGCTCAGGGTCACTGAGGGTGGGTTAGAACTCATGTCTTCCCGAGTCCAGGCACAGTGCTCTATCCGTCGTGCCACCTTGCTGCCTTGGAACAAAGAAATGGCAAAGCAGACCTGTGGCCCGCCCATACAGAGCATTTTTGGGGGGTAATCTCGTAAGGCCTGAAGTCCCAGCCATCCCAGCTCGACGCGGGTGGGTTTGACTGTTTCTACTGGCAAATGCAGGAACCGTCAAGGAAACTTTACGGGATCAGCCTGTCCATTAGGGACCAGGGGCTTGCTTAATTGTGACCGCAGCAATGATTTGCTTTGGCTGTTGTCCTCCAGTGAATTGTCCTCAGAGAGGATTCAGCGAATGAGTAGTCCAAGAACACTACCCAAAGGGATATTTGCAGTTGTCCTCCTTAGGAGCACAGCTGATCCCTGCATCTCCTCCCTTCTGTTTGCTGTTACAGACTGAATTTACCTACTGGACTGGGAGGTAACATCCATGTCCGTAAACACGCAGGGCTGACCCTGGGAGTTTTCATGTGGCCGTTTCAGCTACATTCAGAGCCACGCTTTTGTAATACGTGATAAAGTGTTTGCAGAGCTCATCCCTCTGTAGGCTGATTGGTTCGTCCTGGACAGCACTCACTCCAAATAGAATCTGAGAGTAAAACCATTAGGATGTGTCAGTCACCAGAGCCCTGACGGAGTTGGCCACGGTGCAGGCACCTCAGCCGCCTTTTGGAGTTTCCAAAGTCCATTCGAGATTAGGTCATCGAAGCCCTTCCTGTCCCAAGACAAGTTGGTCACCAAGTGGGGAAGAACCTTTTAAAAAGCCTTTTAAAGTGCGCAGGCCTCAGTTGGTATGCTAAAGTTCACAGACACTGAGTGGCTCGCAGCGATGGTGCCAAACTCAAGTAGAAATGGGAACCAAAGCTGAGCCTCAGGTTGGCTTAGAAAACCACACACTAACATTATCTATGTTCTGCTGTATTTTTATTTATTTTGTTAAATATTTCCCAATTATGTTTTAATCTGGTTTGGGCCGTGTTTGATACCTGTGCTTTATAGTATGTTGAATCCCTCAAATCGAACCATTTGCAGAGGGATTGGAGACGTTTAATTAAAATTTTCTAATGTGACTAAGCAGGAAACATTGTAAGACACTCAGTCATTCCAAGGATCTGTGCGCTTAGCTCAATCTCAGCCGAGACTTTAAGGGATGGTGCTGCTTCTTTATGCCCATCACCATGTAAGTTCACTGTCACACAAATTTAATTTGGTTTGTTATTTTCTCCTGTCTCTTCTTTTTGGATTCATTTTTTGTGCTTCTCCTTTTTCTTTCACTTCAATTATTTTTTTCTTCTTTCCTTTGTCCACTTCCCACCTGTATTTTGTTGCAATGCTTAAAAGATTTAAAAAGAAATCTTTTAGTCAGGAGAGCTGAGCTTGAAAATCATCTCTGAAAGTTATGAAATCATGGTCAAAAAACACTTACTGTCTTGGGGCCTCTGTTTCCCCATCTGTAAATCTTGTATAAATAATACTTGAACTACCCTCCTCACAGAATTATTGGCAGCAAAGTACTTTATACACCTGAAAACACCCTAGAGATGTGGTCTATTGTAAAATCGCTGTGTGGAAAAAAAATTACTTTAAAACTCTAGCAAAAATAATTTTTTTCCTAATGTTATATTTTCCATTTATGCTTTTAAAAATCTTTCCATTGTTTTAAATTGATTGCATAAGAGAAATTCTGTAAAATCGAAATCTAAGTTTTTCAAACATAAAACATCATTTTAGAGAAGAAAATGTAATCACTATTCTGTGCATACATTTGTTTCAGGCATATTAAAACGAAGTTTCAGTGCTTCTGGAGGAGAAAGACAATCTCATGGAAGGTCTGTAAAATTTTAGCTTTTGGAAATATTTTAAGCTTTGCAAAGTCAGGATATTACTAATTGGGCTGGCTGCTGGAAAAAAAAAGATGCCTGATGTTTTACATTAAGTAAGAGGTTAGGACATATCATGTTGATTTTTGTTCATATGACTAGGTACTTTGTATGCCCTGATATAAAAATAATGTTTTCAGAGAGTGGTTGGAAGACGTAGGTAGAAAGCAGATATTCTAGTACGCATAGAGAAAATCTGTCAGATTAAGTACTGGTTTGCTCTAATTTGCGATGACCTAGTATCTGAGTTTATTAAGATAGTTATTGTAAGAAATAGGTCTTTGAATTACCCAGGATTCTTCATTTTATAAAACGAGCACCCAAACCAGGTCCCCTATCACATGTAGACCAATCTAGATTAAGTAAATTCTGTGGCTACAATATATCATAAAGATCCCCTTTCTTGCATTTTCATAGAAAATGTTTGTCACCAGGTAAGTCCTTGAATAGCTGATTGTTTGAAGAGTAGTGATTGCCTTCCTGTATCAGCGGAAGGCAAACAGCTCTGTTTGCACCTTGGAGCACCCCTTGTAATGGTGATATGGCGGCAGGGTCTCTGTGGGGAGGTCCAGCGGCGACTGGGCAGGCTGGTTTTGTTGATGGAAAACAGTAGATGCTCTGAGGGAGGAAATTAGTGCCTGCAGGAGATGTAGGCAGAGCTTAGAGGACACATTCTGAGGGATACAGGTCCTGACTTAAGCGTAATTGAGCCTTCCGTAAACAAAGAAAAATTTATTGAGCACTGTACAATCTGCTAGAAAGACGGAGAACGCAGAAGCACAAGAAATTGTTCCCACCCTGATTGGCCCTGTTTTATTGAGGAGATGTGGCATATACTCTTGAGAAGATAGCAAAAATGAAAGGCATAGGTATGTGTCTAATGGGTGGTGCAGAAACAACAAAAAAGAAAAATAAGGAAAGAAAAAGTCCCAACTCTTGGACTTCATTAAGATAATCCCCAAGGCTAATAAAAGGACATATATTTATAATCCTTAAAAAGTATTAAAAAAGGGCAACATGTTATTCACCATGTGCTTAATTTTATATATTCTCATAGATGTGTTTTTATTAACCTTTAATAAAAGATTATTTACAAATTATTTAAACTTCAGTGAGCTACTAGAATGTAAAACATTTGCCAAGAAGAGAGAGCCAGTCCATCAGTGAGTACTGTTCAGTGTCTGCTATGTTCCAGGTGCTGTGGAAGGAGCTAGTAGTACAAACACAATGAATGAAGGGAACAGTCCCGGCCCTCAAGGAGGTTACATTCTAGCAGGAGGTGACAAGTATGCCACCTAAGCATACAGAGAATAAACACAAGGTGGTCAAGGTGGGAGGGAGGGAGAGCATATGTAGAGCCCCTTCTATGAGCAAGTAATGTTTGAGCTGTGTTTTGGAGGAGAGTGGTTCTATGAGATGGCGGTAGTGGGAGAGTTCATTCCAGGCTTGGGGTGCAAAGGCAGATGGTGCAAAGGAAGGGAGTTCTTTTTCTGGAGGTGGATAACTTTTTCCATTATGAGCCTTTTGGAATTGTCTTGGATCATCATATTGCTGAGAAAAGCTAAAGCAATCATAGTTGATCATCACACAGTGTTACTGTGTACAATGTTTTCCTGGTTCGCTTTTCATCAGTTCATATAAGTCTTCTCAGGTTTTTCTGAAATCATCCTGCTTGTCATTTCTTATAGCACAATAATGTGCTATCACAATCATATACCACAGCTTCTTTAGCCATTCCCCATAGAGGTTTATTGAATAGAGGAGAGACATGGTCAGATCTTTACTTGAGAAAAAACACTTTGGCAGAAAAACTATCGAATAGAATCTAGGGGGAAAAAGTCGTTAAAAAAAAGCAAATCAATGTAATCCTTTTGGTTGTAGTGAATTATGCATGAGACAGTACATCTTTTAGAGACTTGTGAGGTATAAAAAGAAGACGGGCATTTCCAAGTCAGGGACCTCTTAGATTAGGCCTGCACAACCTACGGCCTGCCAGAGGATTTTGGGTAGCCTACAAAAAATGTAGAGTACATCCTCTATATTTTTTTTGGGGGGGGGTCTCTTTTTTTCTTTTTTTATTAATTTATTTTGATTTATCAACAATTACTTCCATAAGCTTTTGAGTTGTAAGTTTTTCTCCCTCTCCTTTCCCCCTCCCTCCCCAAGATGGCTTGTAATCTGATATAGGCTATACATATATGTTCCTATTAAACTTATTTTCATCTTAGTGATGTTGTAAGGAAGAATTAGAACCAATAGGAGGAACCATCAGAAAGAGGAAACAAAACTCAACAGAAGGTAAAAATAGCAAATAGTATGCTTCATACTCCATACTTCTTTCTATGTGGATAGCATTTTCCATCACGAGGCCTCTGGAGGTGTCTTAGATCCTTGCATTGCTGAGAACGGCTAAGTCTACCAACATTAGTCAGTGTACAATGTGGCTGTTACTGTGTACAAAGTCCTCTTGGTTCTGCTCACTTCACTCAGCATCAGACCATACAAGTCTTTCCAGGTTTTTCTGAGGTCTACCTGTTCATCATTTCTTATAGCACAATAGTATTCCATCACATTCATATACCACAACTTGCTCGGCCATTCCCCAATTGATGGGCATCCTCTCATTTCCAGTTCTTTGCCATCACAAAAAGAGCTGCTCTGAATATTTTTGTACATGTGGGTCCTTTTCCCATTTGTTTGATCTCTTTGGGATATAGGCCTAGAAGTGCTATTGCTGGATCAAAGGGTAAGCACATTTTTATAGCCCTTTGGGCATAGTTCCAAATTGCTCTCCAAAATGGTTGAATCAGTTCCCAACTCCACCAGCAATGTATTAGTGTTCCAATTTTCCCACATCTTCTCCAACATTTATCATTTTCCTGTTTTGTCATGTTGGCCAGCCTGATAGGTGTGATGTGGTCATCCTCTACATTTTGTGGGCTGCCCAAAATCCTTTGGTGTGCTGCAAGCACCCCGTGGGCTGCAGGTTTTGAAGGCCTGTCTTAGATTAGTGAGAACCAAGTGCATAGCTATCTGGGTGGAGGGCAGCATGAAGATATTAGCAATGGGTTACGCATGTGCTGTGAAGACAGCAAACACTTGATAAAAGTTTGTTGGATGAACAGATGCATGTGATAGATAAAGATGAGTCAAGATCTAAGATCATCCCCTGGACTCAGTTACTCCAGCTTCACGTTTTATACATTTAACCACCTCAGCCCATAAAATAATATGTTGCAGTATGACACATGTATATAACAACAACAACAACAACAACAATGAGGAGTAATAGTACACTGGTGCTCCAGGTATCAATGGAGTTTGCAGGCAGCATCCCAAAGAGCTGCTAATAGACTGCTCAGAAGTCCACACCTGTGTGGACCAAACTTCTCAGGCAGATGTTCCAGGAGAGCCATTTTGGTGACATGGAAGGATCCATATTAATTTGCAGATATTTATTGAGGACTTACTATGGACGAGGCAGCATGGTGGGTGCCAGCAGGCATAGGAAGGAGAGGAAGACCATCTCCACTCTCCTAGAACTTAGAGTCTAACAGAGCAGAGAAGACACATATACGAATGACTGGCATCTTTTTTCTATAAGCATGTTTGCCAGCCTTCTAATGAAAAAAATCAGCAGAAAGTTTTGGTAATTTTAAATGTTCCTTTAAATTTCCTTAGGAGCTGAGAAAGACAGAGTGTATCATTTTATGGGTGGGTCAATGGCATAAAAACTAAAGCTGAATTAAATCACAGACATTATAATTGCTGAAAGGAATTGAGATATGAGACAGATGTTTTGTATTGTGTATCTGAACTAGCCATGATGTGCAATGCTTTTCATTTCACATTTAGTTTTAGCATCAAAGCAAAGCTTACAATGCACTTAAATGCAAGTTCCTTACCTTTGACAAGCTTGTGAAGGCCCAAAGGCAGAAAAAACAGTTCTTCCCCCATAAAGCCACCCCTAAAAATGCCCAGACTTGGAGCAGGAAGAACTCCTACCTTCACCTTTGTGTCAGAGGAGAGTCGTTTCAGTGATCTGGTGCAATAGGGTCTGATGAGAGTCAGGAGCAGAGCCAGTGGAGATGGGGATTTGTGAGAGAGATGCTGTGCACATGGAAATGAGGTTGGTCAACTTACTGGCTATGAGAAGGGACTGAGAAAGAGGAGTCGGGGGTGACGATGAGGTTGCCAAGCTGGGTGATTGGAAGGATGGTGGTGCTTGGGACAGAAATAGGCAAGTCTGGAAGAGGGCCAGGTTTGGGGAAAAGCCATTCAGCCTGTTATTGACCTGTTCACTTTGACTTGCTTGTGAGGCATCAGGTGGAAATGATGAATAGCCGATCGGTGATCCGGGGTTGGAATTTGGGAAAGAGGCTCGGGCTAGATGCAGAGATTTAGTTCTTGTTTGTGTTGTGGCGGTCATTTGTCCTTGGTTCTAGAAGAGGAACATGACATAGGGAGGTGATGCCAAGACAGGCAAGTGAATCGGATTTACGTGAGGGAGGCCTGTGCGGAGTCAGCAGCCGTCTGGGTCCAGTGGCCAGCTGTGGCTCAGGACCGCTGGAGAAGGCTCATCAGCACAGGGGTTATAGTTAGGCTCATGTGACTAATGAAGGCACCAAGAAAGAGAACATAGAGAAGAGGGCGGAGGACAGATCCTTGGGGGTTTATCCAGTTAGGGAGGTAGGATGTGGAGGACGGTCCTTCAAAGGAACCTGAAAAGACGTAGTCACATGGGGACCAGGGGAGAGCGACATCATAAGAACTCAGAAAGGAAGGTGCCTTCAGGAACGGGAGGTGGTTCACCCCGTCAGATGCCACAGAGAGATGAGTGAATGGGTCTGAGGAAACGTCATTTGATTTGGCAATTAAGAGATCATTGGTGACTTTAGAGAGGGCAGTTTTAACGGAGAGATCCAATCTGATCACGTTCATTGAAGCCT